TATTTTTTTAGCACAAGAGTATATTCTTCCATTGGTCAAAGATTTTTTTGGACCTGGTAAGCATTTTTTTCCAAAGAGAAATCGAGTACTGACAAAACAAAATAAGATAATTAGCACTCCCTCCATTCTCAAAAACTCTTCCTCTTTCATTTTTACTTCCAACAAAACACTTCCACTTACTATTAAAAAACCACTTTTACCCTTACTTTTTCATACCCTACCTATCACATCATACATTTCTTCTTTATTGTGGGTAGAAGTTATTTTGAAATTTTTTTGGCATTCAAGACGGGATAGAAGTGTTTTATGGGATGCGCAAAAAATAAAACAGGAAAAACTTTTTGGGACGGAGGGAGTAGTATACAATTTGAATGAAATCTAAAGGACAAATTACAATACATAATGCATACATCAACAGTCATAGTGCATCATGATAAATGCAGTAAAAATTAGTAAATGAGAAACATAATATACCAAGAATGTTTATTACATAAAATAATTGTGTGTTGTTGAACGTAAATGGAGCACAAAACTAAAAAATAAAATCATAAACATGATAATATCCACCAAGGCAATAATAGTGGGCAAAATAAATGTAGTGTACATATCTTCCACCTTTTAAGGAAATAATAGTTGGCAAAATAAATTTACACAATGGGCATGATTTAATAGTGGGTTGCGTGCAAACCAAATTGACAATAGTGTCCCTGGGCAACTAATATCTTCCAAATTTGATGGCCATAAGTTATTAATTACTATAACCATTAGTCAATTGCGTCAACCTTAAAGTGTAATCTAAGCCCTTAGATTTGTCATATCAACGTATATAATTTATTCTCATTTCTTTCACCAAGGTTCATTCTCACAGGAACCCACCCCTATATATATATATATATATATATATATATATATATATATATATATATATATATATATATATATATATATATATATATATATATATATATATATATATATATATATATATATATATATATATATATATATATATATATATGGGATTGACTCCGGTGAGATGACACCTTGTGGTAAGATGACACGTTTCAATCAGATGACGCTGGAGCTCACCACGGATCACTGCAAAGCTCACCATTGATCACTGCAAAACTCACCACTGTCCACTGCAAAGCTCACCATGATTTTCCAACACTTTACTTTTTTTTCAAAATTTGATGGTTAAATGCTTACAAAGCCCAGTAACAAAGTTCACTGACTCTCATTGCAAAGCTCACCAAATATGTGCACAAAACTCACCACACTTTAAAGTTTAAAATGATTTCAAAAAAACAAAGGGCGGTGGTGCTGACTTCCAACCGCAACAGACTACCGTCGTGGACTGGTGATGCAATTTTATTAATTTTTTTTTAAAAAAGTGGTGAGCTTTGCATTGTTTTTTGGTGAGCTTTCCATTGACAGTTGGTGAGTTTTGCATTGACAGTTGGTGAGCTTTACACTTTAATCGCCCATGACCAATGGCCACCACCGATGACCCCCACTGTCATCGTGGACCGGTGGTTGAGCGGTGCTTGACTGGTGGTTGAGTGGTGGTGCTACTTTTTTTATTTAAAAAAAGTGGTGAGCTTTGCATTGACAGTTGGTGAGCTTTGCATTGGCAGTTGCTGAGCTTTGCATTGACAGTTGGTGAGCTTTCCATTAGCAGTATTGTGTGTTGTGTCATCTGATTGAAGCATGTCATCTTACCATAAGGTGTCATCTCACTGTGGAGCTCAATCCCTATTGTCATCTTACAAGCTTTCCATTCTAAGCTATCCAGGATGGTGGCCAGGACCCGAGTGCAAAACGGAAAAAGAGGAGTACGAGCAGGCAACAATAGCTCGAGAAAAGAGTGAAGGCGGAAGCACACCACCTCCTGGTCGCGATAGCGACAACAGGTCGCAGAACTGCCGTGTTCGCTAGTCAAGCCCACGTACATCTTAAAAATAAATTCTCAGACATGACTAACCATTCTTGGATTATTGACAGTGGTGTGAATTACCATATGACAAAAGACATAGTTTTGTTAGAAAACATTGAAAGGGGATGCTTGTCTGAGCGAATCAATGAAATGCTTGGCTGGACATCAGTATCATCCCCTAGAGGGTCACGATAACTACAGGAACAAC